GAATAAGAGAACCCAGTTTTAGTGGTTGGTCACTATTTGCCACTTAGAAAGTAGTTCACATGATTTCAAAAGGGAACTCCTTTTTCATTGGGTCACAACTTTTTTGCCTTCATAAATTATTTTTCTTGTCAGGGGTTATATAACATAGAAAGGTGGTAATACCTCTGCTTGCTTCCCTGCATGTAGCCTAACACCAAAAGCATCATACATCACCTGCAAAGTATTGAAAGAATTAATCGAGTCAGTAAAATGAGCAGCGATGCATATAGTAAACTCAGAGTGCAGGATGTTGCATTTCAGAAAACGATGAAGAAAAAAGTCACAAGAACTAATCAGTATTTCGAGATGCCAAAATGAAAAGATGAGACAAGTGGGGACGAATTGTGGGAGTTAAAGCACATGACACATGCCTAGGAGTAGGTGTTATGGTACTGTATGCCATCATTTTGCATTTTTTGCATGGCTGGTTTTGGACACACATATATGTACAATTATGGAAAATTTTCCACAGGTTAGCTGTTATCCTTCGTTCAGCAGGTTTCATTAAATTTGCAAACAAAGTCAGGTACTAGGTGAGCTTTGAAGGTACTATGAACTAAGCACACAAAACAAAGTACAGCATCTCTGAATATTGATCTGACAGTACATCTTAGCTGTGAGATTTCCACAATAACCCCAACCGAATTTATTGTTCTGTAGGGCCTCGTTCACTTCGCAAAAAAAGTGAACCCGATGAATAGTACCACTTTCGTCTTATTTGGCAAATATTGTCCAATCGTAGACCAACTAGGCTCAAAAGATTCATCTCGTGATTTCCAACTAAACTGTGTAATTAGTTATTTTTTTTACCTACATTTAATACTCCATGCAAGCGGCTAAAAATTGATGTGATGGAGAGGGAGTGAAAAAACTTGGAATTTGGATGGCATCTAAACAAGCGTAGATGTAGGTATCAGCTGAAAGTCTGAAACTTGAGCGACAACTTGACACTAAATGTCCTACAGTCTCTTCCTCATCTTTAGTGTCCTTACAAACTCCCATCAATTTCCTAAAGTCTTTTCCTCGTATGTACTGTACTTGTACTTCTGTCCACAATCTACACCACAAAATGTACCTTCAACAACTGAGCCCCAGGCTTGAAGTGAAGCGAGCTAGTAAAGCAACCAAGCCGAAGTTTTTAAGTGCAAAGGACACTCATTTACTCCCCCTGATCACCAGTTCACCACAACGCGTCCCAAGATCATAAGGCTACCTATCAGATCCACCGCCCACTGAAGATGGTCAACGCGTTTTGGGTGTCGAAAGAGATAAGAGGGGGCGGGGAGGGGAACCAACCACGGAGGCGAAGACGGCGGCGGTGGCGAAGAGCGAGCTGGCGAAGCCCTCCTGCAGGCCGACGGCGACGGCGAGCGCGGTGACAGTGGCCGAGTGCGACGACGGCATCCCGCCGGAGCCCACCAACTGCTTCGCGTCCCACCGGTTCTCCTTGTACCTGCACGGCACACGCGCGCGGGCGCGGGCGGGCGGCAGATGCAGATCCCGTCAGGGAGAGAGCTCAGATCCGGGCAGCGGCCGAGCCCGCGTGGAGGGGAGGGAGGGGCGTACCAGGTGGTGAGGACCTTGATGGACTGCGCGATGGCGAAGGCGAGCACGGCGGCGACGAGCGGGCAGTTGGAGAACACGGCCAGGTAGGAGAACGAGGGCGCGCCCGGCGGCGGGGCGGCGGAGACGATGGGCTCCGCCATGGCTCGCTCACGGTGGGTCACGCCCGGCTCTGGGAGTGGAAGGTTCCCGTTCCTCCCGGGAAGGGGAAGGCTCGGCAGGGGCGCGCTCGCCGGGGGGCGAGGACGACTGGATCACACCGACCGCGTCGGCTCCCAACTCCAACTGCCCCGTTGCCGTTTGCCGTTTGGTGGTGTTGGCCACTTGTGCCGTGGTGGGCTTATGGTTTCGTGGCTGCGGACGCACGGAAGGCGGGGTGCGGTCCCGACTGTGTGAACTGCTATGGATACCCAGAACCCCTCCCTGATCCGACCTCGGAGCCCGAACAAAAGATGCAAATACTGTTTCTTTACTACTCACTCGCTTTCATCAAATTATAAGACTCCATTCACTGTTTTTAGTTTGTTTTTGGTTTTAGTCTTTCAGAAAACGCTCATGTGGGTGCTCATTTGGCAGGATTTAACCTTGGATATTCCCATATAAAAGAGAAATTCAATTCATAAATTCAAGAAAACATGTCTTAAGCCCTTCGTTAAAGTTGGTGCTAATAAGTTTAAGGTACAGGAGAACACCTATCCCTATAGAGTAGAAGTTTACATGTGCTAGCTAAAAGGTTATGCTCAACCCCGGTACCGAGTTTTTTGAGGTTGGAACCAAAATAAAACGAAGAAGCCCTTAGTATAATAATAAACACTAATAACAATCACGACTTGTTGTGGCTGATGAGACTAAGTGTAAAATAAATGACTGAGGAATAGTCTTTAGGCCAATAAAATGATCTATTAGACAATCTACATAATTACAACTAGATCAGCTCATGTATGGCTATTCAGTATCCGGTATCTTGCCTAACAGGTGGGTTCTCGATTATGAATTTACAAATTAAGTGAGAAAAAATGGAACATATGGTGCTTACTTTAGCCTTGTGTGGCCCAGCACAATGCTATCGTTAACTCACTCCCTTGCACGGAGTCATGTCTCCGATGACGGTTGTCGGCGGATCGGGACGGTCGGCGGGTCACAACATCGCTGAAGTCCCAATAAGGCGAGGCATCGTGACTTACGCGACGTCAATTATCGGTGGTGGACTATTGCCTTCTTGAGTTTTTAGACCTTTAGGCTATATAGTGGTAGTACTACATATTTCGTGCTTGGGAGAGCCCCTTCCTTTCAAGGGACTAGAGGGGAGATGCTCCTTTGGCCCATGCCCGCCTCCATTAATTTTTAGACTCACTATATCTTGTCTGCTAGAATTTTGAAGCTGACCAATGACTCTTAAAATGTTGATGTCTTAAAATAGAACATGATAGATTTCGTTGTTTTGAATTAAACACATATGTTTGTACCGTTTTATTTTAGCGAACAAACTCAAAATCTTGTAACTGAGTGTAGTCCAGCTGATTAGCTTTCTTGTGGTGGATCTATCCATCCAAGTTAAGTCATCGACTTAGCGCAAATACTCACATTTTTTAGATTTATTTCACAAGCTTTAATTTAATGGCGCTATTATTTCAATGGCAAGCGACATGCTTCTTTAGATGTATTTTATGATTTAATTAACAACACTATTCTTCACTTTTAGTGACCGGCATGTGCCTTTTTAGATGTATTTTAGAATTTTATGGCGCTACTCTTCACTTTAGTGGTGGCGACGTGCCCCTTTTGCTCAGGCGTGTGTACGTGGGTTTGAGATCCGCTAGCTTTACTATTTATTTAGAGTGTGTGTATGTGCAAATATTACTGTCCAAATTTAGGTATTGTTTGGTTTAGTTCCTAAAAAAATCTCACAGAACGTTTCATCTAGGTAGGAGCATTAAATATAGACTAATTACAATGTAATTTAAGATTAAAGGCTAATTTACGAGACAAATTTCTTGCATAATTAATCTATCAGTAGACACAGCCAGACAAGATCTTTAACCGTAGTGCTCTCCGTGATAGCAAGCTCCCAATAGCAGATGTCATTGCGCTGACTTTTTCTACTTTGGCACTTTTCAACCTATGATACTGATCTAAAAATCTATATACGTTCATTTGTGTGTTCTTATGTCCCATCTAAGATTAAAATGATGCTGAAAATCATTGCATGCATGTTAGAGTAGTAACACAGTAAAAGCAAGAGCTTTAACCGTAGTCCTCTCCTGATATCCATCCCAAAATCACATGTCTTTTGGCATTTGCGACAGATAGTTTGGCACGTTTTTCACCTATGATACTGATCTATCTATACGATTCATTTGCTCTTTTATGTCCCATCTGTATGGAATGATGCTCATCATTGCACCAGGTTAGAGTAGTAACAGAGTAAAAGCCAAAGCTTTGCCTTCCTCTCGCTTTCATCCATCAATAAAATCACACGGTCTTTTGGCATTTGCGACAGATAGTTAGACATCAGATTTGCCATAAACGTTACTCCTACACCATACCTGCATGATCTTTACCGTCTCCTTTCGTACACATGCAGGACGACATTTTTCCACATGGGGGACGCAGAGCGCAGCAGCTGGCGTGTTAGAATCCGCACGTGCTTCTAACAAGCGAAGCGAAGCCCTAGGCCCCCCAGCGGAGGCGCGCGGACACGCAACCGCCGCCATCGCCGTCCGTTCCAAAAACCCAACGGTCCCGATGCGCCACGCCCGTCCCGAGTCCCGCCCGGTCACGTCTCCGTCCCTGCTCCGGGGCCCCGCGGCACGAGCGGCCCCACCGAGCAGTCACGGGCGCGGCTCCCCTGCACCCGCGCGAGACAAAGTCCCAAAGGCTCGCGGAGCGGCACACCAGCGAGGAGGGAGAGAGAGAGAGAGAGGGGCGGAGGAGAGAGAAACCCCTAGTCTCCAGGCTCCAGCCGCCTCGCCTCCCCTCCCCCCTCGCCGCGTCCGCCTCCGCCTCCGCCTCCGCCTCCGCGCAGCGGGAGGAGGGAGGAAGGGGTTCGCGCCACGGACGGCGGCGCCGGCGCTGGTGCCTGCGGAAGGCCACGAGATCTCGCGGCGGCGGCGCCGGCTGGTGCGGCGGCGGGCGAGCGGGCGGCGGGCGGTGCTGGTGGTGCTCTGTGAGTCCGCTCGATCCCCTCGCCGCGGGAGTGTGCACCCAAGCTGCCTCTGGTAGGGGGGTCGCCTCCTGCTCCCCCGGCGACCGCGGAATAAGCTAGCCCCCCCTCTCCTCGCCTATCGCCTCGGGGGGGTTAGGGTTAGGTCTTTCCCCGGAATCGCGGGCGGAATTCCGCGGCCAAGGCGGCGCATTGCTACCGGCGCAGCGCGTCTCCGCCCCCCCTGCAGCCAGCAATGATGGGGAAGACGCATAGGTTCTCCAAGGGCCACCCGCTCGGCTTCGTGCCCGACTACCGGCACGGGGTGGCGGAGACAGTCGGGGAGTCCAAGGGGCTCGGGGCTAGCCCCGCGAGGATCGACTCAGGGAGCTCCTGCGCTCTTCCGCCCAAGAGGAAGTGCGTCAGCGTGAATTCCGAGGAGGGGGAAGGAGCCTCGGGGTTCAGTGTGCCCCGGGAGGTGTTCTCGCTGCCCAGGATGACGGCTCTGGACAAGAAGGACCTGGAGATGAGGCTCTCCGCCACGAGCTCGCGCAGGTGAGGGACCTCCAGAGTAGGCTGTTTTCGAGAGGGCCTGCGGTGAGCATGAATGGTGCGGCGGCTGCGTCGGCGCCCACAGGCGATGTGCAGCCCAAGAAAAAGGTTGAGAAGCTCAAGCGGAGCGATTCGGTGCAAACGGACAGGACAGCGCCGCCACTGGTGGCTGCGGCCGTCGCTGCACCTGTTGCCAGCTCTGTTAACTACACATCATCGTTTAAACAATGTGCCAACCTTCTCAAGTCCCTTACGAGCCATGGATGGGCAGGCCCGTTTCTTGTCCCGGTTGACATTGTGAAGTTGAACATCCCTGACTATTTTCAAATAGTCAAGCAGCCCATGGATTTGGGTACGATCCAGAAAAAGATGAAGGCAGGCATGTACTCTACACCTCGGGAATTCGCTGCAGATGTGAGGCTCACTTTCAGCAACGCTATGAATTATAACCCAGTCAATAATGATGTTCATTTAATGGCCAAAACTTTGAGCAAGAACTTTGAAACTCGATGGAGGCTTATTGAGAAGAAGCTCCCTAAACCAGATGAGAAGCCTCCACGAGATGAGAAGCCTCCTCAACCAGATGAGAGGCCTCCTCAGCCAGTTGAGAAGCCTCCTGTGAGGGAGCCCACAAAAAAGAATTCAACTAAGAGAGTTGCCATTGAGAAAGAAGACCCCACCAAGAAAAAAACCTCAAAGAAAAGTGTACCTAAGCAAGACATCTTTCGGGAAGAAGATTCAGCGGACAATCCAGTTTTGCTACCAAAGAAGAGGAAAACCTCTCCTTTGGTACAAGATGCTCCTTTGGTAGAGGATATTGTTCCAGCCAGAAAGAGAGTGATGATGAGTGAGCAGAAATACGATTTAAGTGCAAGATTACAATCATATGGTGCATTCATTCCAGATCATGTAGTTGAGTTCATAAGGAGTCACGCTGATGATTGTGATGCTGACGAAGAGGAATTAGAGCTTGATATGGATGCTCTTGGAGATGATACACTTTTTGAATTACAGAAGCTACTTGATGACTATGACAGGGTTAATCCGTCAAGAAACCTTACAGAAGAGGAGCCTCATGAGGTTGAGGTGGGTGCTGCTGTATTAGAGATTGCTATTTCATTGTTTCATTTTGTAAATAACTGTTTTATGCTCTGCTCAACAGTCTCGGAGTCAATATGAACTCATCAATCCATCAGTGTGTAACGTTGAACTCATCAATCCATCAATATGTAACGATGAAGGTCTGTTTCTCATCCATTGCTCATTTATGATACTAATTTTTCATGTAAACTAAAATATTATATGCATGTTTTTCAGGCAATGAGCTCATTGACGAGGATGTTGATATTGGGGAGAATGACCCTCCAGTTTCGACTCTTCCTCCTGTGGTACTTGAGGATGAAACGGCAGACAGAAGCAGCAAGCATAGTACATCTAGCAGTTCTAGTAGTGGCTCAGAATCATCCTCTAGTGGTACGTAATTTCACAAGTTTCACCCCAAATTTCCTATTGGGACCACTATGGTACTGGACCCATCAATGTACTTTGGGCACAATATGCTGCTAGCTTTCTGCTGCATGATGCAAATTAGCAATCTTATTGACTATGTCATTCATAAGGTTCGTTAATTAAGCAGTCATAGTTGAGAAAATGATAGATTTACTTTTGACATATTGAATTGAGACCGGCAGTATTACTCCTCTCATTTTTTCTCAGCTAACTATTCTTTTCTAGTTCCATAAAATAGTTATCCAATAAATGCTACATGTTATTGGAAGTAATCCCGTGTTAGATTCTGGACTTCATTGACATGCTTATGAAAGGAGCCAGCCAACATGCTTGTGTAGAAGTTGAGCTCAGGGTAGGACATATTGTACTGTTCCATAAGAAATTTACACCAACCAGTTCAATGGAAACAGAAGCTATAGGCTTACAGGAGCATGGTTTGGTTTATTCTTTGGCCTGCACCTTTTTATATTGTGCACTTTTTAATAGCGGGCACCACCAGATCATGATGGCACAACATTATATGGGACAGTGCAACATTTAGTTATGTTCCCTCATGATATTACTTATTGTGATTCTGAGCTACATTGGGGTTAAAATAATTTCATAAATCCATGAATTATAAGGGAATAGAAACTGGAATGCTTCTTTGTGATGATGGCCTACCTTCCTTCTCACCTGCATATCTTTATCCTTGCACAGTAGCTCAAATTTATTAGAGAATGCAATAGTTGTAACCAGTTACAGAAACTTTAACTATTAATGCTGCCAACTGTTATGAAGTCCATAAAGGAACGTTTTTTCCCAAGTATTTCACTGAATAATAGGATCTAGCTTCTGCTATTGATATGCGTTCATGAATCATTTGTTTATTAGCAAGGTCAGTTGATAAATCAACACATTTGATTATCCTTCTGTTAGTGCCTGAACCGTGACTTGGGGCTCTTGGTGGGTTTCAACTCTAGCCTACCCCAACTTGCTTGGGACTGAAAGGCTATGTTGTTGTTGTTGTTGTTGTTGTTGTTGTGATTATCCTTCTGTATTTCTGGACTGTTCTATGCATTCTACTACAACAATTGTGGGAATTCTTTGGTTATGATTCAGAAAGATGAAACATTTGTCTTTCGTTCGGAGTGAATTATACCACTGATGGAAAAAAACCAGTGTTCTTTTAGAAGGTTCTCTTTGGATCCATTCAATTAATTATCAGGACCCTTACTGTTCATATTTGAAAAGTGACATTTTATCTGTATGGCATTATCTTGATGGGGTGTATTATAATTTGATGATTTAGTTTCAAGTACAAATCTAAAAATTGGATTCTATGTAGCCAACCAAGCCAAGCCATAAAAAAAATCAAAATGCAAATAATATATATTCGTGGTTATATACTTCCTTTTAGTCTTGCTTAATGTAAAGGGTTATAGAACAAGAATGGAGACAACATGTACATCTGCTGCATACTGTTTCTCTTTGTTGTGCCCTTAACTTGCCTGAGTTGTCATGTCGAATGCACTGATGATATTTCTGTTTTTACCTCCGAAGACTCAGATTCAAGTAGCTCTTCTGGAAGTGATACAGATGCCAAAGCTCCTCAACAAAACAGCGGGTCAAAGGTTCTTATATATCTCTTTTTAATCTGAATCCTTTTCAGAGTAGCAGAAGTTTCAATCAAATTTATCTCTTTCTGTTGATGCGAAGGATATTTTAAGACACTATCTCAATGGTTCTCTCTCTCTCTCTCTCTCTCTCTCTCTCTCTGTCTTCTCTTGTCTACATGCAGGAAAAAATTCTACCTGTGGATGGCTTGGATAAGGAAAAGGGTAAGTTTTGCTTCATAGGTGTATCAATATTTTGGAATCTCAATCAAACCCTCCTGTTTTCCGCCTACTAACATAACCTTATGGAACCCAACACAAAACTCAACGAGAATAATGATGCAATGATACATACATGTCCAAAGCCCATACCTTTTAAAAAAAAAGTATTTAACACTTTTTTTCTAGATGAGATAATTAGTGCAATTATTGTCTTGTGTTGTGTGAGCTGATGGATTTGATTTTTATATCCTAGACAGTGATTCAGGTTACACTTGGCCTGAGATTTACTGAACCAATTGGTTGAACTGCCCATCCAAATTTTATTTGTTTTAATCTGATGAATAGCAATCTATTAGCAGTGGCAGGTCCAGAGTTCGTTTTCATGAGTCAATTATTGGGTGTGATATTCAGAGGTTGATAATTGGGCATGTATTTTGAGTAGGATCATTCCCTTATTGCCTTTGAACTGGACCTTTTCTTTCTATACAATTCCTATACATAACTTGTTTTACTGAAAAGAAAGGACAGTTGACACTACGCCTCTAAATGTTTGCAGATAACATTTCCTGGGCTTTGCAACCCAGGAATATAAAACCACTTATATCTTACACACTCTTGATTTAATTTGCAGATTCACTGAACACATTAAATTTACCAGAGCAAAGTACAAACCCTATATCTGTTTCTGCTGATGGTGAGGGTAAGCATGAATTTTCATGATGGCCGGTGAATACCCAATCTTCTGTGGTAGAGAAAATGGGTTCTCTTACAGGTGTATGTATGAAAATTTTAGGGGGAAATGTATCTGAAAAGCCGGTCTCCCCTGACAACCCTGACAAGCAAATCCGAGCTGCCCTTCTGAGAAGCCGCTTTGCCGATACGATTCTTAAGGCTCGTGAAAAGGCCCTTGATCAGGTGTGTGTGTGAAAATGATTCCTTGAGAGCATTATTGTCTGGGCGTTTTGTGTTATTCACTGTAAGCTCACCTGATTGGTAATAATATCAGACTACAAAAAAGGATCCTGAGAAGCTTCGACGCGAAAGGGAGGAACTTGAGAGGGTACAAAGAGAAGGTGAGATGCAATAGAATCATTTTTAGCTGACAACAGTTGCGTGACAGAACTTCTGTTACAGAGAGAGCTCGATTGCAAGCTGAGGCTAAAGCTGCAGAGGATGTTCGCAAGAGGGCTGAAGCAGCAGCTGCTGCTGAGGCTGCTGCAGAAGCTAAACGGCAAATAGAACTTGAGAGAGAAGCAGCTCGCAAAGCTTTGCAAGAGGTAATATCTACTGTATTCTCCCCACGTGCAACATCATATGTTCTGCTGTTACCATACTTGAAGTGTAAGCAATGTTGGCTCGCAGATGGAGAAAACTGTTGACATCAATGAAGGGAGTCATTTTTTGAAAGATCTTGAAATGCTCGGAAGTGTCACAGGTGAACAGATACCCAACTTGGTTGGTGAAACAAGTCCTGGGTTTCAAATGGGAAGCAACACCCTAGAAAAGCTCGGGTTGTACATGAAAAATGATGAAGATGATGAGGATGGTGATTTCACAGATGAACCAGTGGCTGATGTTGAAGAGGGAGAAATAGATTAACTATGTTTCTGGACCATTTTTGATACGTTACAGGAGGACCTGTTGGCATGACTGATCTGCATAGCTTTTCTTCGGTATACAAAGTGACCTGACGAAAGATCGTGTCGCATCGAACTTGAAGGTCTGGTATTCATTTTTGTAACTGCCCAAGTTTTGGAGCCAAGTTGGCAAATGATGTAGCGAGCCTCAAACTTGTTGGAAGTTTGTGGTGCTGCATGGAGCATGCCTATCGTTTGGATCGAGAATCTCTCTGGACTTTCCATATCCATAAAATGGAATGGCGAGTTTATTGCATATATGATGAGCCCATTAAAGGGGATGAAAAGGAGAGGGGAGGAGGAGGAGGAGGAGGATGGTGATGGTTCTTGGCTCTTGAGCTGGTGCGAGCCGTTTTTGAGGGGTAGTTTTAGAGCCATTTCCGTGTTGTGAATGTAATATCGGAAACTGTACAAAAGTTAGCCTGATAGATGGAAAACATTGCCTTTAATTTATGCAGTGCCTGTTCTTCACCGACCACTTCACTTTTTTCTGGAGTAAAGTTTTCATGAGATGCTGCTCTTTCATATTGCGGTCCTATTCGTTTCGCTGAAATTTGGCTTATGCTGATGCTTACGGCTCTGTTTGGCTTGCTGAAAGTGGCTGAAAAACATTATTCTGGTTGAAATGTTGTGGGAGAAAAATATTGTTCTGCCTGAAAAAAAAAACCGAACAAGCCAGATGTAAGGTAAGCCAAACGAGGCCTATGTATGTTGAAATGTGTGAGGATGTAAATGCTGTTTGTTCGTTGCAAGGATAGTATAAGTAGTGTTGCAGAACAGGATGGCTTTGGGATCCTGTTGCTTATTACTTTGACACAAGTTCTGATATGTAGCTTGTCATGTATGTACACGATCTTTCAGTAGTGATGTTTACCAACCTGTTTATAATAGTATTATCGTAGGTCACATGCATGGGTCTTTGACGGTAGACGCCAATGTTTCTGCTGGCATTAGTGTAGAATTATGAAAGGCTGTATAGTGGATAAGGCGCGTAGATAAATGTTGTAGCGAGGAGGGTAGTTGACTTTCTTCCATGTGGCCTTGAATCCATTTGTCCAATTGTCCGACTAGAATTTGATAATCGTTCTCCTAGTATTAGCTAGTGAATTGGTGTGAAAGTTAAACTATTTTTTTCTCCTCGTCCCTTTATAGGTTCCCTTTTCCAATTAAGTAGACTTCCAACTTTGATCGACCATATCCATCAAATTAGTTTCTTTAATTTCTCCATAAAATATGTTTTGGTAATGTGTTTATTTGACGTTCTTTTAAGAAACTTGACTAAAATGAAGGTATATTGCCTGTTCGCTTGTTGGTTTCAGCCAGCCCAAACCAGCCAGCCAACAGTGTTTTTCTCTCACAAAAAATCAGCACCAGCACCAACCAGTGAACAGGCCCATAGAAGTTTGACTTGGGATAGAGCTGAAGTGAACTATAATTTAATTTAGACAGAGGGAGTAATATATCACGAAGAATCATTCGAAGAACATTAGAATACGTAGTGTTATCAAGAAAGAATGGAAATTTTACTCGTGGTGGAAATGAGAAGGCCAACATAAAGAGCCTAGAGCATGCAAGGCCCAGGCATCTTTCTCAAGGTCCCAACTAGAAGCTACTCTATCAAAGCCCAAAGTGAACACAGAAAAACATTTCCCCTAGAATATTGACAAATACAACATACATATATGGATATGATAATCAAAAACCATCTCGTGGTTCAAGACAAAATTAACAGAACCACAGCAGGTCACGGATCATCATGACTCATGACTGTACATGTATCTTTCTCCGAGAAAAATGGAATTTCATGGCTTCAGATTCAGAAACTTGTTTTGGCTGACGATGGCGCCTGTTAATTATGGCTTAAACCAGGGTAATCTTGGTAGAATTTGTATGTCTTGATTTTCAGAATTATCTGCCGGAGTCCTCCAATCGGTGACAGCACCATCAACAGCACCCCAATAACAATGCATATCTGAAGAACATGTTCAACACAGGGGAAAGAAAGTAGATGTCAAGCAGACACATTCTGATGCTGAAGAGAGAAAAATACTCTGGATTGTCAGTTGCATTGCATCCATCTTATTCTTACCCAGTTGGTGAACCATGAGAGGCTGAACCTTCTGGGCTTGTAGATGATGAGCCACATGATGCAGGGAAGCTGGCACAAACAAGGGAGATTTTGTCAGCTCTCTGATGCAAGAACTCTGAACCTGACTCATTGTACATCCTGATGAAATGAAACTACAGTAGCAGAAAAAACAAAATGGTAAATGGGTAATTGGGAGTGGGAGCTTACGAAGTAGCTTGTCGGCGCGTAGGCGAATCCACCGAAGAAACTGAGCAGTTCGCTGAAGAAGGGGAAGGTGATGGCTACGAACATTGTGAGCGCTGCACAGGTTGTTGCATTGCATCTCAGGTCAGTCTGGTGCATGTGTGCACTGTGCAGTCAGTTTATCAGGTTTTTCAGTTCAGAGTTTCAGGCATTGCATTACCAACATAGACAGTCCGGGCAACGAGACGGAGCCTGAATCCTGGCCTGAACCAGTACTCCTTCACCAGCACGGTCTCGATCATGTCGAACACCGGCATGGCGTACACCTGGTAGCTGCCGACGACGTGGACGACGACCATCATGTTGGCGGCGGCGATGAGCCAGCGCGGCCTGTTGAGGGTGATGAGGATGTTCTCGTCGACGCCGTTGCCGAAGGCCCAGTAGCCGACGAGCGCGACGGGGAAGTAGCACGCGGCGATGATGACGTAGGCGACGACGACGCCCTTCCACATGGGCTTCTTGGACGGCTTCCCGGGCGTCGACGGGATGGTGGCCTGGATTTCCAGCACCACGTTGTGCCCGGCGTACGTGAACGCCACGTCGCCCAGCGCCCCCAGGAAGCCGAAGACCTTCCCCGGCGTGGTCGTCGCGCGGAGGCTGTAGTCGGCCTCCGCCTCCGCCGACGTCCCTTGCGCCGCCGACGCGATCCACGCGATCAAGGAGTAGCTGACCGACATGACGGCGGCGGCGAGAGAGACGCTGGAGATGGAGTGGAAGTCGGGGAGCTGGGAGAGCACGAAGTGGACGGAGGCGAAGATCATGATGAAGTAGGGGAGCTTGATGCGCTTGCACCGGCCATGGCAGACCACGTCGTGGACCTTCTGCAGAGACTGGCCGCCGGTGATCATGTAGACGATGTTAAGGCCCACCTCCACCACCAGCTGCTGCGGCACCACGATCCAGAGGCCCAGCTTCTCGCCGAACGCGTGCTGCCCCAGCTCGTGGTACCGGTCGAACCGCTTCCCGGGGACGCACTCGTGCATCTCCACCATCTGCCACAGCGTGTACACCGTGATGATCCACGACAAGACCAGCACCGTGACGCCGACGCCCCTGCGAGTGGTGATCGATCGGCCAGAACGAAGGAAGACGAGCTATCAAAGCTGTATCCATGACATGACAGCCCATATGGATGGAAAGATTGATGACGAAACGGACCAGCCGAGCTCGGACATGGCGTAGGGGAGGGTGAGCACGCCGGCGCCGACCATGGCGGTGACATTGTGGAAGGCGGCGTACCACCACTTGGCGTTCCTCCTCGCGTTGACGGGCAGCCAGTCATCGTTCGTCGGCTTCTCCTGCGCGCTCCACCGGCCTTCCCCTTCCTGCGGCGCGTCTGATGCCGTACGCCTCCCTTTGGGTGCAAGAGCCACCGTGGCAAGCTGCAGAGTTTGAAGTTTGGTGGATCAGCAGACGAGAGCCAGAGACACAAGCAAATCTCAAGCTTGAATGATCTTCCTTTGTCCCAAAATTCTTGCGTCTAAACAACACCCGACTGTCCAAGAAAGCTACCAAGATTTGATTTTTCAGACATCAAATTTGGGTTCAGATTGGGTTTAATAACTTTTGTATTTGCAAAAAGGGTTTGATTTAATTTTGTACTATTTTGACGAAACTGATTTAACTTCGTACTATAGCACCCAAAATGTTGTTACCCCCCTTCATTGCCAAAAATTACACCCGGTATGTGATTGTAATTCATATGTAAAGTATCTGAAGTTTCAGTACAAACTAAATGTAATAAAGGCATAAACAAAACTTCAGGTTTTAGGAGGCTATAAAACGCTTGAATTTTTCTTACCTCTCGTATTCACTACGTCCAAATCAGAAATCTTGGCACAAATCTGACATTAAAATCCAATCATTCCGTTGTAAAACGACAGTAATAAGTATTCTCTAAGCTTTAATCCTTTCTTTTAAGGATCTGAAATTTTAATAATTTCATGTTTGAAACGGTTTCGAAAGCTAGATATATATATTGCCAAAATGAAAGAATGGAAGAAAGAAGTAAAATAATAATAACAATAAAAATGGGACACTGATTATTGCAAGGAGGAGAAAGGAAGAAGAAGAAGAAGAAGAAGCTGATATGGCCGGCCGGCAAACATGATGAAGAAATTGGAGTGAAGATGGTGTATGGTGTGGTGGGCGTGCCTTGGCCGGAGAATAGCTGTCCAATGGTTGCATTTCCTTGGCCGGCGGCGAGAGTGCCTCACCGGTGGATGCCATGGCAGAGAGAGAGAGAGAGAGAGAGAGAGAGCCAGAGGAGGCCAGCAGAGTCTTGAGCAATAATGGAGAGGGAGGTAGCGGAGGCGGCGGCAGGGACAAGCTCGTCTCTTCTTCATGGAGCACCAGTGAAAGGGAGCTCCGAGCCTCCGTGGCTCCATGCCCAGCGTCCAATCCCCATCGGACGTTCCGGGTGAGACTGGCCATAGCAATCAGGCGTCGATTTCTCATTTGTTTGGCTCCGGACAGTCTTGAAATATAAGAAATCCAGTTTTGTCCTAAGTTAAACTATAGTAACTTTGATCAAATTTATAAAAAATAAAATTAACATCTATCACATAAAAAATGTACATTATAAAAGTATATTCCATAATGTATCTAATTAAGCTAATTTCAAGTCCTATATATTTTTATTCTTTTATATAAACTTGATTCAAAGTTACTATAGTTTGACTTAGAACAAAACATAATTTCTTATATTTCAGGACAGAGAAGAGACAGTAGCTTACTTCCTCTATTCTAAAATAAATACACATCTTATTTCGAGAAATAAACTAATCTCAAATTTAATCAAAGTATATGAAAAATATTATTTTATAATAAAAAAATAAATATCATTAAATTAATCACGTCTTATACTTTTATAAATCTATTTAAAAATATTGATACTATATATTTTATAAATCTGGTTAAATCTAAAATTAGTTGACTTTTTTTTATCGAATATGCAAAAGATTTGCGCATTATTATAATTAAAGTAGAAGAGTTTAACCATATAAACAACGTGCTTCTTATGAGCGTCCTAAGAGGTCTATGGGATTACAGCCGGATGCTAGATCATCCTAGCAAATAGATTAACTCCAAAACCTGATCTTAGCTTTAATGCATCCCAAACAGTTCCACATTCATCACTGGACTAATCCCTTGGAGTTGCAAATGGCTTGCGGAACAGGGCGAACTTGGCTTTCGGGAACAGAGATAATTGCCTTAGTGTCGCACAAGCAATTCCGAGACTGGATTTTAGTAATTCAGGATTAATAGTACTTAGAATGTTTTTTTCATATTGAGAAATTCTGTCTAGTGGCATTCGATCACAGAAGCCGTTGACAACAGCATAAATAACAACAATTTGTTTTTCAATTGGAAGTGGCTCATGCCGAAATTTCACCTAAAAGATGGACCAAAAGAGCATTGATATTACACGTTGGTAGTACGAGCTGTACATTTATTATGAAGGGGCTTAAAAGTGTGTACCTATGTTTGAAGCGAAATGTTGATTTTGCTCTTGTTTTTAAACTTTGTGATTTTACTCCTGCAATTTCAAAACGAACGAAGACTTTAACCTTGTTGCGTGAAGTCCCGCTAACGGTGCTAACTTTGGACAAATAGACAACTTTGCCCATACATTTTTATCCCTATTTTATTTTGATATTTGTGTTTTACCCCTATTTTCGATCAACAATTTGGCAATTTCGATACAAATTATACAATTCAGTCAGTGAAAAACTCAACAATTTTTAGAAAAAATTGACAGCATTTCAGCTAACAATTCAAATAAAATTAATATCAGACAATAAATTAATATCACATATATTACATTGATCGCAACAAAAATTCAAGTACGACTTTTTTTCAACACGTAAATCCTCTGGACACGTCAATTTTTGAGAAGAGACCGCTTGAGTCGAATCGAAGACAATAACGTGACAAACTAAGCAAAATTTTTTGGAAATAGGGGTAGGATTTACGTGGTTCAGTGCGCGCCAGTCGGGTCACATAGATCGATGATGTCACGTTAACATGAATAGTCAGTCATACACGCTGTCTTCTTTCTTCGTGAAATACACGCAAATATATATTTTGCTCGTGCGAGAGGGAGAGAGGGAAAAAAAGAGAAAGGTCGTGTGTTTGCTACGTGGCCTTTTGAGGCTTCCTCGTCTAGGATCCAAGCCCCAGCCATTTTTGCTGACGAAAGAGACACGTCAAGCTTGTTTTCCTCATTTTAATTACCTGAAGCTTCTTATCAGTTAGCTCAGCTGAATAATGGAGTTTCGGTCAAAGGAGTTCAGCTGGATATATAATGAAACAGTGACAGTTGGTTTAGCTGGTCCATCGGACTATCTCGAGCGATGGCATGCGATTTTTCCCGGAGATTTCCAGATGCTGACAAGTCTTGTTCCATGGATCATCGACTTGACTGACTGTTCTGATTGATGAGATCGAATAGTTCAATTGACCGATGTATCTGCAGAACCGAACTGGGTCGGTTTGTTAGGTCGCCGGTGGTGGGACCTACCTAGGTTCAAATTCACAGACTACGCATTTTCATGGGAAGTTTGTCAAGTCCAAGATATGCTAGTCTATAGTGTGAGCCCCCAAAAAAATGGAGTTGAATTGGGGCACTTAAACTTACGCCTAGAACACTATTTTCTCTATAGTAGAAAAACCATAAACGAACTAGTATGATATGCACCTTAGATTTTTCTTGTGTGCTTCCTAAACCAAGTCACAAAGGGTTTTATTTGCAATGTAGAGACAAATTTACCGTCTAGTCTATGCTAATCTAGAAAAGCTAAAAGTCACAAAAGAAGAGCACAATAGGGAAGCTTCAAATGTGCAAGGTACAACGCAAATCAAGAGAGGACAGACTCCCGTAGGCAAAGATTTATCCAGTGGCACCGGTTGCCAAAATGCATGCAATCCCTAGTGCACGCTGGAGCTCCTCCTAGTCACGGTGTTAGGCAAGCCACAAAGGCCATCATGAACCAAGACAACTGCCATAAACCACTAAGGCTCACACACTTGTTGCCCAACTGTACTGATCACTAAGATGTCGTTCAGTAAGAGCTTCTCCACCAAGGAAGGGGTCTCCTCGTCCCTCACATACCAAGTCACTGCGCTGTTTGTATACACTAAGCTCAGAGGGTTGACATCACCGAAGGGTCACAAAAACCTCGAGTGCTTAGGCTCACCAAGATTACAAGGGCACAACATCCCAATCATTGAAGCTCTCAAGATCTAAGGCCTAGCCCTCATATGAATAATGGCTATATCCTATGCCTTGGGTTTCATCAATATGCATTTGATAAGGTGGATGGAGTGTAGGATCACTTCCTCTAGCTTCTTGGGGCCATGGGACACTTGAATAACGTTAAGCAAGTGAGTGGGAACCTATATATATAGCCATCCACCCTAGCTAGCCATTAGCTTGTTACCACAAAAAAGTGCTTAGATGGTCTGGTTCTTGTCTATGCCCCTTCTATACCTCACCTATCGAACTAGATGCATCTTCGCTCCACCATGCTCAAATTATCCTCACTTGTCTCTCGTATATATGATCTGCCACGACTATCATCGGTTCAAGTGTAGGATAGTCTTGCAGGTAATTGGGGTTGGTGTTCTGGTCAGGGCAACTACTACTCGCCTTGACATTTTCATCCCTTGCTTTTGTCGTTCATACAAGCTCTAGGACTGGTGTCATTTTGGCATCTATTCATGTAATCGCTTACATGAGCAACACATCCCGTTTTTAAATGGATCTTGCTGATTCTAGTCATTTGCCTATTGGCTACCTTGTGACTATGTATCATAGAGTGGAACACCTAAAGATCATTTATCTAATGTAAAGTAAGTGCTCATTAGTCATTGGCTAAGACTATGTGGCTTGGAAAGAGGGTGGAGGCACCATTGGAGATCTCTGATTTGGTGGTACTCATGGCACCTATTGTACTTGGGGAGAGAATTCCCTAGGACTAATCTTGGCTAGTTGTATATGGTAATGGCCTTGTTAAAGGCATTGTGAAATACGAGCCTCTCTAGGGTGAAAACTATGGTCTAGGCTTCATCGGTGTCTCATGTCCTTCTTGGAGGCATTGCTTTTGGGGAGTCTTCATCGTGATCCAAGTTTTGCAATGTTAGTGGATAGAATAATGACTATGTTGTGTGTTGTAGCTTGTTATGGTATGATAGACACCAAGTCTTTCTTATTTTGTTGTCTTAGGCTGGTAGTGATCTTACTGCTATTGCATCTTCTTGATGTAACTGGCTGATATAAATCAAACTTTCTTTATAAAAAAGTCTCTCATATGTGTTTATAGGACAAAATGGTGTGCGAGTTGTTAGGATAAAGTATACGCTTGAGCATTTGTAGGGATGAGTTTGCACGCGTGTATGTGAATATAGCTTCGTAGATAAGAGGAAGAGCAATCTACAACATATTTATTGCTCATATAATCTTTGTCTTTCTTTATTGAGCGCATGGACCTTGATTAGTGGATTGAGTTTATTTTCACTATTTTTGTTCCGCAGAAATTATAGTTTGATTAGGAGCATAGCTCGTTAGGTTAGGTTTCTTATGGCTAGACTTGTCTACAATGATCATATTATCTGATAATTACTCTTTCATTGGTAGGTAATGTACCAACGATTGTGAGGCGCATGTGATGAATTCTCAATCTCAAGATCCAATTGGCCTTAGGGGCATCCATAGAGGTAGAGTGTGCATGCATGTGTCTGTAGGGATACAATGAGTAAATACAGGTGTATGTGAGCTCTTGTAGATTCCACAAGTGTGTCAAGGGAGGGGATGTCTAAAAAGAAAACCAAGATGTTCAATTTGTGGAAGGAGTCAATTGGCTTAAACGGATAGGGTTGATGAGCTCACCTTCCATTTTCCTTCTCTTGCATCCTTCGACACAAATAAATTCTATATTGATTCTAGAGTTCTTTTGGAGTTTTTAGAGCCACTTACAAGTGGGCTCATTCCTCGAAACCTTCAAATATACCTCATAGAGATAATACATATCTTGCATTTTCCTTTTCTAGTGAAATCTCTACTTGTCTCCAGAATAAAACTATCAAAACCTCACTTGCTTCGTGCCTAAGCATCCTAAGTCTATGATTGGTTGATTTGGGTGTGTGAATACCAAGTTGGGTTCTAGCCGACCCACATAGTCCATAGGCAATCGCCTATGGATCAATTGAGCATGGCTAGGCTTATCCTTCATGAGCTCAATCCACTTCATGGGAACCGTGTCTTCTTCTATCTAAATTGGGCTAGTTTTTTCCCCAAATATACACCATAAGACAAAATCAAATCTAGAGTGAAATATGTCAGGGTTATGAAATATAATCAATAGTATTAGTATGAAATTCAAATATAATGGTAAGATTGTGTGCATAATGAGTGCCACCACTTTGCCAATCTCAAGGTTTAAGCAGTTGGTACCTTGGAGGCATATATTAGGGTAGGATGTGTATGTATGTCCATGAGATCGTGCGTGCAACGTAGGTGCAATACTTAATGAGGAAAACTATGAATTGAAAGGAAAAACATACAGAACAATTGGTAAGTAAATCCTGTCACAACCAAAAAAGATTACAAGGTAACAACATGAGTGTTGCGTTGAAATATATATGAACAATAGAACAATGTCAAAAATTATGGTCCTTAAATTTACCCATGAACTTCTTACAATTGTTTCTTGAAACTATTGGCCTGTTCAGAAGCATGGATTGATGGACTAATATACATAAAGGTTGTTTGAATTGTAATGTGACATTAATTGGGAACTATCAATGAACTATGGATGAAAGAAATACAAACCACCTCACTCATTCTCCCTAATAATGCACAAATAAGCTAACTCTTTCCTAGAATATATACAAACAAGATATACACATGTATATGGTATCACAAAACAAACTCCTAGGTTAACAACAACGACACATCACATATCGTCATGAGCAGGAACAAAGCTTTGAATATGACACATGCCATCTTGTTGCATGACAAAAACTTGGTAAGGCATAACCCAAATCAAGTTTTTCTTTTGCCAAGATGGAGATAAACATTAAGTCCCATTCAAAACTTGGGACATGTCGATCATTTGTTAACTATGACACAAACCTTGGGTTTTGTGTTGAATTTCATGTTTACTAGTAGAAGTGGTATGTCTTGGCTTTCAAGATGATCTGCCGAAGTCCACCGATCGGTGACAGTACCATCAGCAAAACACCTAGGACAATGCAGATCTGAAGAACGTGGACAACAAAGATATAGTGGTTATACTAAGAAGTACTGAAGGGAGAAAAATAGTCTTGGATTATCCACTTGTTCTTACCCAGTTGGTAAACCATGAGATGCTGAAAGTTTTGGGTTTGTATATTGTGAGCCACATGATACAAGGAAGCTGCCAGAAACAAGCATGAATCAGTCAACTCTCATGTCACATTTCTGCACTTGATTATATATACCTATTAACGGTTCATCATATGATTTGTTACTAGTCGAGTAGGATTAGCAAGAATGGAAATCTTGACGATTAAGACATTGCAAGAAACTATTGTAGCAGCAAAAAAAAAGGAGGTAAATGGATCAATGGGAGCTTACAAAATACGTCGTCGGTGCGAAGGCAAATCCGCCAAAGAAGCTTAGCAATGCACTGAAAAACGGGAAGGTGATGGCTACGAACATTGTGAATCCTGCACGTACAGGTTGCATCTCATCAGTCTGGTTTTCAGACCTTCTGAGTTCAGACTGAAGACTTCGATTCAGAGTTCAGATAGAGCCATTACCGACATAGACACTCCGGGCAATGAGACGGAGCATCAGCCTTGGACGGAATCCAAACTTCCTGACCAGCACCGTCTCTATCATGTCAAACACCGGCATCGCATATACCTGCGCCAACCGCCAACAACCACAATCACTGCCGTCCATAAATAGTTCCATACCACCAAGACTTGTGGAAAACAGACATTATGTATATTTTTTTATATGTTTGCATCTTTTGAATTAGATGTTAGGATATGATATCTTTAACTATATATTTCATAAATAATCTAGAGAAGAAATATTGTATAGATATACATACCTGGTAGCTGCCAATGAGATGAACGACAACCATCATGTTGGCGAGGGCGATGAGCCACTTGGGTTTCCTGAGGGTGACAAGGATGTTCTCGTCGACGCCGTTGCCGAAGGCCCAGTAGCCGACGAGCGCGGCAGGGAAGTAGCACACGGCGACGATGATGTAGGCGACGACGACGCCCTTCCACATGGGCTTCTTGGACGGCTTGTCCGGCGTCGACGGGATGGTGGCCTGGATCTCCAGCACCACGTTGTGCCCGGCGTACGCGAACGCCACGTCCCCGAGCGCGCCGAAGAAGCCGAACACCTTCCCCGGCGTCGTCGTCGCGCGCAGGCCGTAGTGCACGTCCGCAGACTTCCCCTTCTGCACCGACGCGATCCATGCGATTGTCGAGTAGCTGCCATGCGCCCAAGCCAGCATATCAGTGATCTTGACGGTAGAGAAGAACGAAATAATAACAAGCACAGTGAAAGAGATGAAGTGCCTACCAAAGCGACATGACGGCGGCGGCGAGGGAGACGCCGGAGATGGATTGGAAGTTGGGGAGCTGGGAGAGGACAAAGTGGCAGGAGGCGAAGATCATGATGAAGTAGGTGAGCTTGATGTCCTTGCTCTTGCACTTATCGTCGCACACCACGTCGTGGAACTTCTGCAGGGACTGGCCGCCGGTGACCATGTACACGATGTTGAGCCCCACCTCCACCACCAGCTGCTGCGGCACGACGATCCACAGGCCTAGCTTCTCGCCGAACGCGTGCTGCCCGAGCTCGTGGTACCGGTCGAAGCGCTTGCCGGGCACCATCTCGTGCATCTCCACCATCTGCCACAGCGTGTACAGCGTGATGATCCATGAGAGGAGCAGCACCGTGATGCCAACCTCCCTGCAAATCATACGTGAGCGGTCGGTTGACCGGGCAAGGAAACATGTTAACATCGATGACTGAAGCGATGAGAATTCAGAGCACGATCACCATGGAAGGTAGATATGTTCATGGAATCACGTACGTACCAGCCGAGCTCGGACATGGCGTAGGGAAGGCCGAGCACGCCGGCGCCGACCATGGCGGTGACATTGTGGAAGGCGGAGTACCACCACTTGGCGTTCCTCCTCGCGTTGATGGGAAGCCAGTTGTCGATTTCCTTCTCCTGCGCGGGCCACCGGCCTTCCTGCGAGTCCGGGCGCCCTGTGGGTGTCAGAGGGAGGCTGGCGAGCTGCAGAGAGTTTGTTTCATCAGTCATCACCAAGCAAGAGACAAGCAGGTCGATCTCGACTTCTATCTTCCTTGCTTCATCTACAAATCTTTGTGGCAAGGATCATATCTTTGCAGATATATATCTTGGCAAATTGAGTCGTGTTGGACGCACCTTGTCCGGAGAATAGTCGCCGAGCTGTGGCTGCATCTCCATGGCCGGACGGCGCGCCTCAGGCCTCAGCTCGACGACGATGGCCGCCTGCCAGGGAGCCTTGAGCTAGCAATGGAGAGAGTGAGAGAGAGATCGGAGCAGGAGGAGGTAGCAGAGAGTTGAAGTCTTATTTGTTTTTAGAATTGCAAGTGAAAGCGAGGTGTCAGGCGACTCCAGCTCAGCTGATGCAGTTGCCGAGGACGACCCGGGGAGCTCAGTCAGCCACTCCATCGATCGGATGGTCCGGGCGAGCGCGGACATGCCTATCACGTGGTCAATCTAGGTAGCCTAGTTTTCAAGCAGTATCTTCGTTTCCTCGGCAAATTTCGTAGAGCTTACCTACATGATGAAACGTCGCAAATAGGAGCTAGCGGAATTTGGAAATAATAACTCAAATAGGAGAGGGAATTTGTGTGGCTGAGGCGCGGAGATCTGGTCAGACGTTCCGTTTCATATTGTACCCGGAGATTGAAGTCAAAACACGTCTTGTTATTATTAACTCATGACTTGCTAACGTCAATCATGCTGAAATCGGCCTGTCTTGCCAGTTTACTCCTTCATCAAGGTTCAAGCTCGTACCGAATGATTTGCGGTGAATGAAATAGTCAATAACACTGTACTTTGTACATTGTTATACCGTGCTGGTTTGCATGCGAATGTGCAAGGAGACTTCCGACTGCAGGCAAGTCTTCCTCCATGGCGACTTTGACTTGCTCTGCAGATTTTTTAAGATAAAGAAATATAAGCATCGGGATTCAATCCTTATGACCAAGAGAATTAGACCACTTATATATTACATCAACTTAAATCAAAATCAAAGGTGTTGTGTACCTTCAGGAACCTCCTAGAGTATATTTTCGGGACCAGTGGGTCACTTTATGGTGTATCTTTCGGATCTTTGAAGACTTCTAAGAACCTGCTTGGTAGGGAACCTGCTTGGTAGGGCTAGGCACTTTTGAACCAAGAAATAAAAACCGAACCAGTAACACCCTCGGTGTTACGTCCTAAACCAACTACTAAATCATGTCATAAGCATTGTGTTTATGTAATAATGCATGCGATAGAAGGTGTTGATAAATTTTTGTAGCCTAAATTAATCAATAAAAATGTTAAATCAATGTTGATGCAATAGCTCATGTATATCAAGTAGGGTTTAAAATCAATTTTTATTAAGCAAAAATACTATAGAACATGTGTGTGATACTTAAATAAAATTGAAAGTGCAAACTTTGTAGATGACAATGAAATACTTGCTGTTGAAAAATAATATTGCTTAGTAATATTTTCAATAGCTTAGAAATACAATTTGAAATAGAGTTCAACTTAAAAGACTTAGAAAATTTCAAGCTTGTGTATAGCTGGACATTGCCGGGTTTAGTAATTTATTTAGAGAGATTGGGTTAGAGGGTGATGCGGTGTTTTAGCTCGGATGAGCAGCCTCATGTATCAGTTTGATCGTGGTGAAGTCGGTTTCGGTTTAGAGGCAATGGTTTAGTGGTAGTCGCTGCTTTAAAATCCGTGCACCGCACGTTCTCGGGCTAGCCCTCTGGGCTGGGCGCGGTCACCAGGCCGCGGGGGCGCGCCGTCGCGGCGTTGGCTCGCTCTGCATGCGCACGCGCCCTGTCGCGCTTGGCCGGCCTGGTCGCCCGCGTCGTGGCGTTATCGGCTCGGCTCGGTATTGACCGCTTCTTTCACGCCACGCCACGCTAGCGCAGGCCAGTACCGCCGCCGCCGCCATCGCGCTGCATCGCTGCTCTCGCTCTCTCTCTCTCTCTCTCTCCCCTCCTTCGTCCGTAGTTTCACATTTGTTCATTGCGCACATGTCATTTGTCGTTGCCATGCTGCCACCACGCAGGCCCGTGTCGCTGGTGTTGCTGCTGCCTCCACGCCCACGCCACGTCGACGCCGCTGCCGCTATCGTCGCATCGCCACGCTGCGCGCCTGCCGCTACACCGCGCTGCGTCGTTGGCTTGCTTTGATGCTGCGCGCACGAAGCCGTGTCGCCGTCGCCTTGCCATTTATGGCACTGCGGTGCGCGGGTCACATCGGCAGCAAACGCGTGGCCGCCAGCTTTGCGCCAGGCCAGGCTTTGCCGCCACTGCTCCGCGCTGTGTGCACATATTGCCAAGTCACGCACAGGATTACACTCTGCCTTCTCTATCACCTTGCCTCGCCCTGTAGCACGCATTCACAGACGCTCACCTCACCTATCCCGCTCCGGCTTGTACCACCCCTGCCGCATCATGACGCCGTGCTGCCGCGTACACTTGACCGCATAGGCACTCCTAAAGGCTCCACCCGAGCATTAAACATGCAACCCATGCCCTCGCTCGTGAGGTTGTGTCCTCGTACTGCCATGCCTTGTCGTGTTTTGGCCGGTCCACATTAAGTCATGGCCACTGTCCACAACATAGCAGCGGCAGCACACCATTCCTTCCTTTCAAATTCACCAGCTCGGGCTTCGCAGCTCAATTCCCCGCACTAGTGTGTGGCATGGGTAGTCAACTACGCGCCCTGTTCTCCTCAAGCCCGACCGATCACTACCGACAGACAATTTGGCGTTTTGCTCACCGCGGCCGTGGGCGCCGCCGAATCAGTAGGTTGGGAGGTAAGGCATGTAGGAGTGGTAGCAGTTTGATTGCTTGTAACCCTGCACTCGCCTTGACTCCCTCTATCCGGTGCTCGCACTGTTTTGGCCAGGGAACTCGTCGGTGACGTGGTGATGCGCTGGTGTCCATCATAGAGCGCCGCCGCCCTGCTCGGTCGCATGTGTCCAGACCGCCACGATGCTTCCCAGCTTCAACCGTCAGTAGTGCGTACACCATGGTGAGCTACGAATGCTTCTCCACCATCTCTATCTTGTCGTGAGGGCATAGGCTCGCCGGAACAGTCGCGCCGCCGCCGTGGATTGCCGCTCGCCACAGCAGCCCGCGATAGTGCGCCTCTGAGTCCCTAGGCGCCACCCATCACTTGCGCGTTTAACTGTAGATGGTGGTCGGCCCCTTACTTCCGTCATAGCGAGCCTAGTTTGCCCGGCGTAACCGCCGTTGCCACCGGTGTGCCGCGCCACCGCGTGCGAGTGCGCCGAGGACCGCCCCGTTACAAAGGCAACACATTTTAGGGACTTTATTGCAAAGTGTGAGTCTGTAGTAATAGTGTTCCATTGCTCCGTGTGATTATTTAAAAACCCGAGCCCTCTTTTGCAAAACGCGAGCGCGTGTGGGCGCCCCCGGCCTTGGGTCATGCTGGGACGCCAAGACACGCGTGCAGCCGCGCTGTGCTGGGCTGTCGGGCCGAAATGGTCGCCACCAGCCCTTTTCCTTTTCTAAGTATTTTCTAATTTAGTTTCTAAGGTAAACTTATAAATTCAATATAAAATTGTGTAGTTAACCAAAATTATAAAACTAATTTTGTTAAGTTTCTCAAATCATAATCTATCTGCTAGTATATTATGTTTTCATAGTTTTATAATATTTTCTAGAGTTGTCTAATTAATTTGAGATGCGTAATATTGTAAAATATAAACTTGTAGGAATTTTTGTGATAAATTGGTGATAGTGTTGGCTCTAAAACTTTTACAGTAAATCCCTAACATTCTTAGGTGCTCATTGTAATTTTTGTAGCTCCATAATAATTAGTTTGCTAAGGTAGCTAAATGAGTCATTGTTTGAAAATATATATTTAATCAATAAAATGCTGAAACACCTTGGGATTTTAAAATTAGAATATTTTCTGGGAAACAACGCCTTATTCAACAACGTGGATACGTAGGCTAGTACGTTAGTCATTAAAGGTATCTCATTAGCTTACGAAGCGTAATCGTATTTAGAGTTGTAGTTGCCGTTGATTATTTACATCTCTGCGTTGCATCCACGTATATCATAATAGGAACAACGATGGATCATGAAGTCGACCGAGGTAGCGGAAAAGATGGTGCCTTGATGATCGTGTCACCATGATGGAATGCTAACTTTTGGTTCTATCTTACCCAGGCAAGCCCCGGTGTATAACCCCTATTATTCTGCACTTTATGTTATGCTTGTGTATTAAGTTTTAAGGAGTTGAATGAAAACCACTTGCATATATATATATATATCCTTATCCTATGAGTACTACTAGTATGTCAGGATCATGTAGATTGTTATGCTATAGGATCCGGTAGAAGTCAAGTGATTACCTGTCACTCGCGAGAGATAGAAAAGATATTATTGTTGCTATTATATTACTATCACATGAAATATATATGAATGATAATTGGAGGCCGGACAAAATGGTACTTTGAATCTGGATTTGGTTAGGCATTCGAGCGAGGCTCGGATTGCACTTGTTCTACCTATGTCGATTGAGGACCGTCCGTTGCTGTGGATGGTAGTCAGGTCACAGACTTATTATTCTGAGCACATACTTGCTTATGAGTGCGGGAAGGCTCATTGGTCTCTTGTCGTGGGTTCCGTCTCTTTTCAGACCGACTTTTTGGAGGCGCGGATGGTAGAGGTCTAAGCACCACACCGAGTCCAGGACTTAGGAGTGGGGGCTTGGAGTCCAAGTTTGGACGGGGATCTAGACCCCTTGATAGGAGAGTGGTGGGTTGGTCTTGCTTGTGCCTGGGGTATAAACGGGCGTGTGTTTCAGGGTACCCAGTTGGGATACATTGGTTCACGAATCGTCGTGTGATACGGTACGACTTAGCTATGGTCTAGCACCGTAGTAAGAACTGGAGCTTGAAAGATGATAAAATGATTCTGATTGCTTACCACCTGCTTGAAAGTAGCATAGGTGCTTACATAGAATGGTTAATTAATGAACTAATGATGACTGCTAATAAAATTGAATATAAGGACGCAGTTTAGTAATGCTTCCGTAGATGCAATAACCCACAAGGGAATAAGCCTTGTATATCCTTGGAGTCTTTTATTTTTCTCCTGTCGGGTAAGTCTTGCTGAGTACAATCGAGTACTCAGGGTTTTATTTCCCCCTGTTGCAGGTGATTGGAGGATACTTAG